CCATGTCACTTACGGAATCATCTTATGGGGACATTGTCCAAGTGTTAGTAAAATTTTAATGCTGCAGAAGGAAGCAATTAGAGTCATTTCAAATGCTGGTTGGCTTGATCATGGCAGGCCTCTTTTCATAGAGAAAGGGGTCCTAACTGTATATAGTCTATACATATTTCATTGTGTTGTTGCTATAAAGGAAAGGAATGGTTTATTTACATCCGTTGGTGAAGTTCATGAGCATAATACAAGGTCAAATAGAAATTTGTTCTATCCCAGAACTAGGCTTGGAAAAACTTTGAAATCTTTTCCTGTTTCAGGTATACGTTTTTTTAACAAGCTGCCTGTCACCGTCAGAAACCTTCCCCTTCCAAGATTCACTCAGGTTATGAAGTCTTGGCTCATTCTGCATCCTTTTTACCACACTAATGAATTTTACAACACCAACCTCAACACCTCTTCTGCCCTATTAAACCCCCTAACTGCTGTACCTTCCATCCGGACCAAATCAGGTTTCATATTTATATTCTTTTTTTAAATCAGGTTTTATATTTATATTTTGTCATTCTTATGTAGCCTAAGTTTGGGAAGCACTTGCATTGTGAATTTGCACTTTTCTAGTATAAGCATGACGAAGCCTGTATTTTGTAAATATTTAACGGCAATAAATCTTTGAATCTTTGAATCTTTAAGCCCGTGACCGATTTACTTTTTCATTTTGATGTCCCCAGAGGCCAAAAACACCATTCGTTCAAATTTATATATATATATATATATATATACGTGTGTGTGTCCATCCGCGATAACTTGAGTAATTTTTGTCCGATTTTGATAAAATTTGGTTTGAAGGTGTAAGGTGCAATAAACTTGAATGAGTTCGCAAACCAGCATGATCGGACGGGGGTTTATGGGGTAAAAATAGGTTTTTCCCATTTTTGACCCTAAAAACACAAAATTTCACAATTTCTTTCTAAACCATTTTGTAGAGCTTAAAAAAAAACAAATAATTTAGTATATTGAAGCGTTATCATGCACCTAGAAAATTCAAAAAAAATTGTAATTTTAAAATTCCCATGTTATTCTTATGGAGAATAAGTCAACTGTTGTAGTTTGCTTGTTTATGAACATATTTTGATCAATTTTGGAAAATACTTTATTTCTTACTAAACTATTATCATTTTATAAAAAAAAAAAATCTTTTTTACCCTCCCTGTTGCAGCAATCCAAGTACTACTCAGCAAGTTAAGTACTCGTTAAACTAATTCTATTAAAATAGGAAATAAATGTGCTATTTTTATGGAGGCATTTTAGTGTAAATCCAATCAGGTTAATGGAAATTCGCTTAGTCTGCAGGTTTGCTGCGGCGGGGGTATTTAGTTGTACAAATTTAAAATATAACCGAGGATAAAAAGAAACATTTTTATTAATGTTTTTGTTATTGTTTTTATCTATAATATCACCTTTTTAAAACAAAACGTTTTTAAACTCAATAAAAAGTAGAAAATAATTTTTAAATATGTGGAGAGTATAAATACTTGTAAGATTTAAAACGAAACACGTGGGGTGCATGCAATAGATAATTTACAATTACCTTCACCTATTGAACTAATGTATTATTATCAATTGCATGCACCCCACGTTTTTCGTTTTTAAATATTACAAGTATTTATACTCTCCACATATTTAAAAATTATTTTCTACTTTTTATTGAGTTTAAAAACGTTTTGTTTTAAAAAGGTTTTTTATTTATAAATTATTAACTTTTGAGTTGTGTATGCCTACAGTCAATTAATGATAAGTGCATAAACAATTACAAGGTTACCATTTAAATTACTGGTATTAAAAAACGAATGAGTGATTTCAAGGATATAAATCTTAAAATTCTAGGTGACCATGTGTACACGATGTTTAACAATAGTTTTTTTAAGCAACCCATGTTTATTACAATAATTTATTATATGTTTTACATTGACACCATGTTTTAATAATAACTAACCGTCCACTATGATGACCAAACTAATTTATTATCATATTTACTTACCAATTTTAAAGTGGTGTCACTATTTTGTTTCTGTGACTCATCAGTAGTAACATCAGTTAGCAGCGGCAATTTTAGCTCGCAGGTTTTCAATTGTGGTTCCATGGCAATTAACAACTCAATTTCTATTGTAAATAAAAATGTCTGATTATACTTTAAAGTACATTTACAGTAATGTTTTATTCATATTCATAAAGAAAAATATAAAATTAAGAATGGCAATTGGTGATCAGTTTGGATCGAGCAATCATGGATGAGATCTATCTAAACATGTATTTATTATTTTCCATATCATAAGTTCAGTGTTTGCAAAAAATACAACTCTATGGAGTGATAAGACCATGCTGCTAGAAGCGAATGTCATCACATCCCAACTTCGGAGGTTAGGTTTGATAAAGACGAAGATCATGGCCATGTATCTATGTTGTTTCCATTTATGTCTTTGTAAATATTTATTTGTGATCAATGTGTGTGTAAATTATACCAAATCGACAATATCTCAAGCAAGAGATGGCAAACAAGAAGTTTAGCTAACCTATGAGACAAAGGACTGACGATAACGTTTCGACGTAGAAACCTAGGTCTCCACTATGACTATATAATAAATTGGATCGTAAGGTAAGCCTTAGATTTAATTATATTCTTTTTGTTGACTTTGCAAAAGCTTATGATGGAATATCAAGACAAAAAATGTGGAAGTTGATGGAAAAACACAGGATCCCAAAGAAAATTGTCAATCTTACAAAAATGTGCACATTTAAGACCATATCAAAAGTCAAAGTAGAAAATGATTACTCAGACACCTTTAGAATTAACACAGGACTAAGACAAGGCGATGCACTATCCCCATTTTTTATATAATCTAGTCATTGAAGAAGTGCTGAGAGAGGTGAGCAGTCTTCAGTGAGGTGCAAAGATTAACGGGAAGACAAACGTTCTAGCATTTGCAGACGATGTGGCACTTATAGCAGAAAATAAAAAGGATATTAAGGAGCTAGCAGAAAAGCTAATCACTGAAACACAAAATGTGGGACTAAAAATAAATGAAGAGAAACCTAAGATAATGAAGATAAGTAGACTACCTGATAAAAAACCAGACTTGGAAGTCTTTAATTTTAAATTCACAAAAACTGACAATTTTAAATATCTTGGAGTGACAATAACAAGTGAAAGCAGACAAGACGACGAAATCCAATGTAGATTAGCAGCAGCTCAACGGTGCTATTGGAGTCTAACAAAACTATTTAGAAGAGACTCCTGACCAGAAGAACCAATATAAAGATGTATAAAGTAATAATACAACCAGTCTGGACGCTTACAAAGCAAAATGAAAAGAAATTAATAGTTTTTGAAAATAAAATCTTACGTAGAGTGTTTGGACCTATTAATGACAATAGTGAATGGCGGATAAGGAAGAACCAAGAATTAAGAGAACTTTATAATGACCCAGATATTATAGCAATGGTAAAGAGCAGAAGATTACGATGGCTGGGACACGTATATAGAAGAGATGTTAACAGTATGATTGTAAGTATGGTTGGCAGTTGTATGTTGACAGTAGTTGTAAAGGGTATGGATGGGGCAACCAGAAGGACGACGGCCGCTGGGACGGCCCAGATTAAGATGGAGTGACCAAGTGAGGCAGGACCTCAGGAGGTTAGGAGCAAGTTTGGAGGCAGCAGAGGACAGGCAGCAGTGGAGGCGCATTGTTGGCAAGGCCAAAAATCACTTGGGGTTTGTGTGGCCACAGGAGTAAGTAAGAGTAAGTAAGTACCTTAATTAAGTATACTTAATTTCTCATTACGTTTACAACTCCTCACTAGTTATAAATGATTTAAATGTTATAGGTTTGGACATAGTTTGATAGGCAGAAATTTGATTGCTACGTGATTTTAAGATGGAACAGTAATTAGGACAGTTTGAGTTTTTCCGTGTTAATTTATGATAGATTTTACATGACTCTCCACTCTTGTAATCTGGCGATCTCACTGCCTGGACTCATTTCATGCCAAATTAGTATAAGACTAATAGATTGATTTTTATAACTTACCCTCTTTTGATCCTCTGCCAGTTTCATGTCTACGGCAAAAGTAGAATTTTGGTATTCTCTAATCGAACCTTCATAAAACTTAATCATTCGCTGCAGGTTATTTTTCTCCACGTTCAACTGATCTATTTCATCACGAGATATTTGCTGAGTGTTAACCTTATCCTGGATTTTTTGTAACTCCTTTTTTTCATTTTCCAACGCAGCTCCTAAATAACAGGTCAATTTTTTTAAAATTCACTTACATAGCAAACCTAGTCAGTTGAAGCATTATTTCTTAATAAGAAATGCACTGATGGTATAATAAGTTAAATATTTCATATAGATGAGTCTTAATACTTTTAGTTTTAATTAAAATGGCGACCAGTCAGTAAGCATTATTGAAATGTGATTGGTTTCCTTCTGAAAAATACTTGTGAAAGTAACTACTGTATTGGTAAACTTAGTAGCATTTATAATGGTGGCAAATAATGCTAACATATTCACGTTAAAGCTCATTGTCAGTAAACAATATTTGTGTTCAACTTAAAACTTCTAAACCTTCCTTAGCCAGATTATATTTTCCTAACACTATCTCTACATAGGAATTACTTAAAAACTAAAACAAACTATTAAGTTTAGTCCTAGTTGATTGGGAAACCTGGAATAAAAAATGTGAAATATAAATATACTGAAAATAAAATGCTTTATGTATTAGCTTCTCATTCATAGCCTACAAAATTTGATATCAAATTGTCATCAAGTATCTATTTTTCAACTAACTGCAGCTAATAATTAACTATAGAAAAGAGTCGACATTTATTAATAATATACTTACTTTTTACAGTTATTTCTTTATCTGTTGTTGCCAGTTGTACTTCAACTTTCTCAACAAAAGCTTTTGATTTTTCAATAAATTCTTTAATCGATTCAGTGTCTTCAATTACAGCCTTTTCTTTCTCCTTGATTTTCTATAAAAAAAATTGCTGGGTTGAAACAGACAGTATACACAAAGCGAATATAAAATTGCCAATTAGTAATATGAACCAAGTAAGCTACCAAAGAGTGTTTTATGTCTATGTGCAGTCTACATGAGTTTTAATTCCTTTAATTATGGTGTTTGTTCGAGTTTTTAGTTGAGTTCCCAGTTCAACACCAATGAATTGAGTATTATTTTCTTATCTTTGTATGCATTTCATATCTTTCTAAAAGTGAACAACTTTTACTAATTGTACAAAAGTTAGACAAATTATTAATAACTCAATAAGCACACATTTTGAAGGCTACCCCAATAATATTTTTACTATACAGGGTGTCCCGTAACTCTCTGGACACATGTATATAGCGTTATTGCTTAGGTCAAGACAAACACATTTCACCATAGGAACATGGGTCTGTGGTGTCTAGTTTTCCAACTGTCAGCATTTATGTGTTTTTTTACTAAAACATAAATAACTCCTAAACCGATTGAGATACAGCATTGATATTTTGCAGAAATGTTAATCTTATTAAGGCTTACCTTTGTTTAAATTTATACAACAAAAATCATTAACCGTTTCAAAATGGCAGCGATTTAAAATATTTGATGCCAAATTTCACAAAAAACCGTTAATTTAACGAAAAAATTGCAAGATACAAAAAAGTTAGTAAATTTTATGTAATTTTCAATTGATGAAGACTATCTCTTTAGGACAATTTTTGCATGAAATTTGGTAAATTACATTAGTAGACTCACAGGTCACCTAAAGACTACATTGGCAAAACCACAAATGCTCTAAGAGTTCGTATGAATGGCCACAGATATGACGTAAACCATCCTGATAAACAAAAACCTGTGGCTATTCATGCGAGAGAACATTCTCAAAATTTTGAACAATGTTATTCAAGGAATAAGAAAATTGGCAAAAGACGCATCAGACTTAAAATTAGGACAGCTTAAGCAAGCTCATCAATTAATACTTAAATCTAAAACACCTTCCGGTCTAAATTTGAGATAGTATATATTTATATATTTTTCTTTCTTTCTATCAAAACATTTTCTTTTTTACTTCTTCATAAATTATATGTATTTTGGATTTTTGCTAAAACCATATGATTCAGAGTGGTAAACACTTCTATTTATTTGTTATTGTGTTTGTTCCTGAAGAAGACTAATGCCGAAATATAGAAATTTTTGAAAAAGTGTGTGATAAGTTTATTTTGAAAATGATTAAGCCGTTTGGCAATATTATGAAGAAACAATAAAAAAATAAAAATTCTTATTAAGAGTACATCAATTTACATTTTTTGTAAGAGGCGACAACCGAAAATCTATAAAGGATTTGAGAGCAAAGTTTTGTTTGTTCTACAACACTAGTCTAGTCTTACCTGCAATTCATCTATGACAAGTGCTTTTCTCTGGTTTTCACTTTCTACTTCTTCTTTGATTAGATCAAGTTGCCTTTGTAGTGTGTCAAAATCTTCTTCTGTACATTTTAAGTCTATAACTGAAAACAAAAACCTTCATAAGTTCCTAGAGCATAATGCAAACTTAACTGAAATCAACATTAATATTAACGGATTTCTCTTATAGAGAATAAGCTATTACCGTAGGTCTCATGGTAAGACCTAGTAGTCCCAGAACTTATTTACTTTTAGTAAATCTACTACAGTACTTAGTTTTGAGGCCCCCTGAGGCCAAAACCACCAATCGTTCAAATTAATATATACATGAATATATGTACCTACATATATATACAATATATATATGTATGTACAAATATATATACAGATTGGTAATTATAATCAATTCAATGAAAAAAAACTTAATATGATTAATCATAATGGAGGTGATTTATATATTTTGGTGTATATGTTGTAATATGCTATTGTAATGGAGAATAACTATTGTAGTTTGCTTTTATTAACATATTTATATTGTTTATGTTTATGAACATCAACATATATAAAATTTATTTCATACTAGGGCTACCACTATTAACATTTGGTCAAAAACTCTTATAACCGTCCTCGTAGCAGCAAACCTAAGCACTACAAAAACTAATGCTATTCAAATAAGGAATAAATATGACATTTTTAGGGCGATATTTTGGTGAAAATTCAATCCCACAAATGGAAATTCGCATAGTCTGCAGGTTTGCTGTGGTGGGGGTATACATACTAGTTCCTTAGCTTGTAACTGAAAAAACTAACAACTTTTCAGACAAACAATCCATGAAATAGTTCAAATGTGCTGTATTATTTGTTGAAATTATAATTGTTAAGTGTACTCACTTTGTTTTTCAATAAATTCTTCATCCATCGAAGCTAACCGGTCTTCATCAGATTTCCTCACTTTATACGACCTCTTGAGATGCAAAACCATCTGAAATTTATTGCTATTAATACAATACATATGACACCAGTTATCGACCATATTTAATCCAAAGTATTTTTATAGATGTTCAGTCTTTAAATTCAATAGACAATCTAATTTGCCCAAAAGATGAACGATTGTAAAACAAAGACAAATTACTTTATACCACTTGTAGCCTGTTTAACAATGTTATCATCCCCATAAAAATTTCTTATATTTAAATACAGTAGCCTAATATTAATTTTTTACTCTTATGCAGGCATTTGTAATGTTTTTAAGAATCAAAATCACACACTATACCTTGCTCAAGGAGAGTGGCTGGAGCTCGGCCCTACCTGCAAGGGACCCAACCCTTGAACGCACACTCACCACCGACATAATTCCCTTTACTAAGTAGAAATATAACACCTATTGTATGATGCCTCGAAATCGCAATTAGTTTCAAGTTAAATATACAATAAAGTGATTTAAGTTACTAAATTTGATGTTAAATTCCATGAAAAATAAGTACAAACATGAAAAAATTTATATTTTAAGAGGGTAGTTTACTGTTTGGGGATGAAAACATTCGTTATTTCTAGAAAAATGCAAATAAAAATAAATATAATAAACGGTATCAGCATTCTGACACATACTTTCTCAAATAAGTTTGTCAACAACCCTTATCATGTGTAAGCGGTGAGAGTAAATATACGGAAATGGGATTTGTACAATTTTGTTCAAAATTTAAAGGACATACTAAATTTTTATCAAAATCGTTCAGGTCATTTTTTTAGAAATTCCATTTTTTTCCGTTATTTTATGGGGTTTTATGAGGAAATCCCCATTAAAAATCAAAATATCTAACAAATGAAAAAAAACTTTCAAAATTGTAAGGACTATTTCATACTATGTTAAATCAAAACCGGCTTTTTTCTAAAATCCAATTTTTTGTTATTTTATGGGAAAATAACATAATTTACAATAACTTTTGAACCGTAATTTTTACAGAAATGGGATTTATACCATTTTGTTCAGAATATAAAGGACTATGACATACTAAATTTTTATCCAAATCGCTCGGGCCATTTTTGGGAAAATCCAATTTTTCCGTTATTTTATGGGATTTTATGGGAAAATTCTCATAAAAAATCAAAATTTCTAAAATATGAAAAAAAACTATCAAAATTGTAAGGACCATAACATACTATGTTAAATCAAAACCGGATTTTTTTCTAAATTCCAATTTTCCACCAGCCGTGCTAGGCAACCAGAGTATAAAAGCTATTCAAGCAGAGAAGATATTTTACCAAGCTTATACTGGAAACTGTCCGTCCTGATCACACTTTATAGATACTTTGGCCTAGATATTTCTAAAGTTACAGTAGATGAGTTGTATTAATTGTTATGCATTACATCTTTATCAATGGCAATTTCATCTTCTTCCTCGTCCTCTTTTTCCTCAGTGTCGTCTTCAACAACGTTTGGGTAGATCATTTCAAACGTATCAGTCAGATCCATGACCTCTTTCAGGTCCACGAGCCAACACAAGACAGCAATCACATGCTGCCAAGAGTGTGGTGTATTCACTACAACAATATATAATATGAATGAATATAAATTACAGTCCAAAGAATTTTAAATTTTCCAATATCAATCTAAATTATCTGCATAAACGGTTTAATTCTTTTAATAGGCTACTTGGGAAAACAAAATAATATGCATATCAACAATGCTGCTTAAAAAGGAACACATTTAATTAGCAACACATAGGCACTTTTTATTAACTTTACGGTATTTATTGATTGTAAGTCAGCCAGTGTTTTGTTGAAAGCTATATTAAACAGTATTTAAAGTCTGGTATAATATAGAAACAACACCGTTGCAGAAAACCCAAAGACTAAGCTAATTTATAGTTATTGAGTTTATTCTTAAAACCAATTTTACAATTTAATTCACGCTTAGTATAAATCTCATTGGCTCAATGAGAAATTTGGTTAGCTACTGTAAGGAACACACACAAGTGTTGTTCTGACAAATCATTACAAGCCTATAATAAAATAAATTTGGTAAGCAGTAATTTATATTAGCAAAAATAGATAACTGATCACTGTACCAGTCATAAGCCAGGATTTGTCCATTTTGGAACGATATCCCAACTTCCTCAAATTTAATGGTATATCTTCCAAGTAGTTTGATTTTGATATGACAATTTTTGAATCCAGATTCTGCAGAAGGTGATTTATTGTAGTCACAAATAGCATAGTGTTCATTGGACGAATGCTGTTTCCAGGTCCGATAACGTCTGGCGCATGGCGATCAAAGTACTCTTGCACCTGGATAAAACAAGACATCGAGATTTGACCTGGTCCTTTTTTAATTTTTTGGATGTAGGCCTATATAGAAGGATGTGATTCACATTTCTATCTCCTTTTAATAGGCAATGTAGGTCTAAAAAATATAACCGTTTAATGAATAAATAAATAAAAAAGTGATAATGCCACAACCTCCAGGTCTAGCCTGAATTAATTTGAAAACAATTGGCTAGAGTATAGTAAAAATTATTCTTTATTCTATCAATCAATATCAATGTTTCAAAAAACCTCTCAAGCGACTTAAAACTAGAATTTTTTATTAACCTTTGAAATTTGGCTGGTTGGTGATTTAAAAGTTGTTAAAACATCGTTTCACGTCAACACTATGGTTACAACAAATTGAAAGGCGCCATCTTACCTTAGCTTGTGCAGCTTGCTGGAAAGGCTTTTCTGTGATTGGTCTTGTATCCTTACGTTTTCCACCTCCTCCAAAACCTATCATTCTTCTGGCCGAATCGGTACTGACCATTTGACTTCTGCAAATAAAGTGTGTGAAAAGTAAAATACCCCCGCTGCAGCAGACCTGCTAACTAAGCAAAATTCTAGGGATGGTTCCCAAAATTTCGGGAAATTTTACTGGAAAATAGTATTCACGATTTTCGGGACAGGATTACATTTGATTCGGAAATTTTTTGGGACTGGTTTTTAACCGATAGACGGCGATTTTGCGCCGCTATAGCGAGAGATGTTCACCATAGTTCCGCAAACGCAGGAGGCGAAGGCATTTCGCCGATCGCGCAGTGACCGTGAGTCATTACGACAATCATGCCGTGACCGCGAGTCATTACAATGATCGGGCTGTGACCGCGAGTCATTACGACGATCACGCCGTGACTGCGAGTAATTACAATGATCGCGCAGTTACCGCGAGTCATTACGACAATAATGCCGTGACCGCGAGTCATTTCGAAGATCACGCCGAGACTGCGAGTCATTACAATGATCGGGCTCGACCGCGAGTCATTTTGACGATCACGCCATGACTACGAGTCATTACAATGATAGGGATGTGACCGCGAGTCATTACGGCAATCACGCCATGACCACGAGTCATTATGACCATTACACCGTGACCACAAGTCATACCGACGATCACGCTGTGACCATGAGTCATACCGACGATGACACCGTGACCGCAAGTCATACCGACGATCACTCCGTTATCGCGAGTCATTTATACTATTGCGCCCAGACAGTGTCTTTTTGGTAACTGCAATACTCAGGACTTTTAAAACAACCCATTTTTATGCACACGACCCAAAAATTGAGAAGGAAATAAAATCCCGTCCTGTCCCATTCGAACAAAAAACTCAATTCTTTCCATCCATAAAAATCCAGTTTTGCCTGATTGGATTTTAAATTAAATGTCTCCTTTAAACATATGACGTTTAACGAGTAGGCTACTTATGTTTAGTGGTACAGAGTAGAATAAAGTGTGTTTTTTTTAGTAAAATGTTATCGGCTCACGGCTCAGTAGAATATAAAATAAATAAATTTACCAAGTATGATCTAAATATATCCATAAACAAGCAAACTACAACAGTTTACTTATTCTTTTCAAAATAACATGGGAAATTTAAATTTAAAGTTTGGCCTAAAATTTTTTTGAATTTTCTCTTTTCTCTTACTAAATTATTTATTTTTTAAGCTCTACAACATTTAAGATAAATGGGAAAATTGATATTTCATGGGTAAAAATGAGAAAAATAATGAGATCAATTTTTACTGAACTTTGCATAAGCTACAAATGCAAGATCTTGTGAGGGTGATTGAATAACTCATGAACTAGGATTTAAGCTGGTTTTTAATCATTACAATTTGAGCTTTTTCAATTATATTGATAAAAATTAAATATCTAATTTGTTTTTACTTTTATTAAAACCTCAATTATAAGGAATGTTCCAGGGTGAGTTATTTTCAATTAAAGTTTATTACTGACTTCACTTAGTCTGCTGTTAGTCTGAATGGATTTTTTAACCAAGGAATTCACTCTGTTAAAAAACTAGGGGGTGTAAAGCCACTCTTTTATGCTGTATAACAAAATGACTTTTTTTATAAACCTCTATATTTCTTTACTTGAAGCACTTGTGGTACTAGTGTTAGACTTACTTTGGTGCCCTAGCACTGCCGGTGGGAAGGTTGCCTTGCACACTCGTGTGCTGAAGCATGGCAGGTATGGTGTTAGCTCTTTGAAATTGCCAACCTAATAAACAAATTAAAACATTACAGTCTTAAAGTAGCTACAGGTGTAATAATGGAAATTATGATAGTTTAGTTTGTAATAAATAAACTTTGATAAACATTGGATATGATCTGTTAGTAGCAACTTTCTTATTATTTGGTTTTTGTAAATTTAGAATGCTTTGTTAAAATTATTTTGGTCTTTGCAAACCGCAGGACCATTCCAAGATATTGCCGCAATTATAAGAGGCAATTTGAATATCTCCATGACCCCGAGGGAATATAGAGATGCACAGTGTGCAGGTCTTGCACGGCCTATGCGAGACGTTTTTCCATATTGCAGATTGTAAATAAATATGGTTTTGATTTTATTTGCTGTCATAAAAAAAGACAGCGACAATGTCTTTGCAACCACGTGGGATGGTTGGGAAG